CAAGTCTTTTCAAGTAAACCGGTTCAAGCCCAATTCAAGTCCCAGGTCATTGGTGTAAAAGTCCAAGTCAAGTCACAAGTCTTAGAACATTTTTTCAAGTCAAGTCTAAAGTCATAAAATTAATGACTCGAGTCTGACTCGAGTCCAAGTCATGTGACTCGAGTCTGACTCGAGTCCAAGTCATGTGACTCGAGTCCACACCTCTGCTTAAGAACATAATGAGCTCAGTGCACTGATGTGACCTGACAGTGTGAAACTAAAGCCTTTTTTAAAGTATGCAGCAGGCTGAAAAGCCGTCTATTTGAATAAGATATAATCTTCATAGCCTGCGACACGTTTCTTACATGTTACGATGAATCTGACTGAACTGATCACTACAGAAGAGTTGTGTCAGAAATAGCTGAGCCAACAAAGGCACAAGTGGAGTGTTGGACCCACTCTCAGTGACAGTAAATGCATTTCTCTGTGCCGATCTCTGAAATCTTATCGGTTTTTAAACTAAACTGCTAACTGAGGTGAGCTTATTGTAAAGCAGATATTGATTAGCAGATGATCAATAGTCTGAACAGGCTGAGTCAAAAACAGAGAAAACTGCTGTTCTGGCAAAATGTAAAAAAAAAATATTAAATTTGAATGCAGTTGATCAGAGTAATCGCATCACTAACCAGCCGACTTCTGAGTGATGTTTGTGTTTGTCTCGTTGGTGGCACCTTTGTCCGATGTTTCTCCACACTGGCTCGAACTTACAGGCTCTGCAGTTTGAGGTTCACGTTGGAATGAGTCTGTAGAAATAAACAAGTTCATGCTTCTGTGTTTTTCATAAATGTTATCATTTAACTTCCAACTTTTCCACCAAAAACAAGCCAGCCTTCTTAAAGGTTCTCATTCAAATACGTTTTCACTCCTTTACTTCGCTTGCCTGTAGGACCCCTTTCAGTTGACCTTTGAGTATCACTCAAATGTGTTGTTTGCACAGCTGGCCCAGGTGTTGGTGTGTCACGGCTGTTGGGGCCGCTCTGGTCCACGGTTTCTCCACACTTGCTACGGGTACTGGGACTCAGAACTGTGGTGTACGGTCCACAGCAATCTGAGTCAAACACACAAAAAACACACAACTTTATGTTTCTGTCCTTTTACAGACTGATCATATTGTCACATTATTTTTAATTTACAGTATGTAGGTTCAAATTTAACTGTGTATAACCTTAATAGCATAACCACCAGTCAGTCTAACTCTATTGTTGTACCACCTTTCATGATGGTACGACAGGACAGATGGAAACTGTTGTTTCCCTTTATGAACAAATCAGATAATTACTCAAAACTTAAATAACTAGATTAGATTAACTAGTTTAGATTTTAGTCTTATTTAGCATTTACCCTTTATTAGTCACAGTACAAACAGGAAGTATGAGGAAGACTGACACACTTAAATGATGCCTGGGAGCTGAATTTGCTTTCATTCTCTCTCAGTAAATGTGTTTATTGCTTATGTGAATGACTGTTTATACTCCAAACTAAATGGTTTTGGGTGTCACTGTGGTTTAGGTTTCCATCTAACAAGCAGAGACAGATTCTGGAAATATCCACTGTCCTGTCTGTGAAAAAATAAAAAACAAACAAACAACAAATAAACAAAAAAAACCTAGAAAATAAGAACATTTATGGTTCTGTACTTTTACAGACTGCACACACACACACACACACACACACACAACCTTGCATGCAGACAGTAAATATTTTTACTGTTAGCATGGCGTGCTTCTGTCATGGACATCAGTGCATGGGCCCAGGATCACAGCTCACAGAGCCGTGCACAAACGCAGGTTAAAGCTCCATCGTGGAAAGAATAAGCCACGTGTAATCATGATCTAAACCACCGCTCTGGAAAACTGTTCTGAGGTCAGACAAATCCAAATGTAAAATGATTGTTGGAAAACAAGGATTAAAGAGGGGAGAGACCATCAGTTCAGAAGTCTGCATCTCTAACAGTGCGGTGTTGCATCTATTCACATACCAGAGTCCAGAGTGTTACACGACACACAGAGAAAATGCAAAAACAATAACATGAAATCAGTATTTTTGCACCCTGCAGAATGTTATTAACGTCATTTCTTTTTAAACGTACCTCTCTGACATGTTCCGATGGCGCCGATCGTGAGTAACGTTCCCACAGCTCCAATCAGAATTCCAAGCACAACACTCCAGCCATGAACACTGATCTGATCTGACACTTTGCATTCCTCAAATATTTTCTCTGAAACACATGAAAAACAGCAAGGTTATAAACGTCATACTGTATCCAAAAATACTTTTATTTAAATATAGAAAAACTAATAATAAAACACCAATTTAAACCCAACAAAGAAGAGAAATCTCACCGGGCACATAGATCTCTGCTTTAGTCTGGTGGTGGATGTCCTCCTGCCTGGCTACGCAAACAAACAGGTTAGTTGTTGTCCTGCTAACGGTGGATCTCAGGGAGACGTAGTAGCGTCCTCGCTTTTCAGAGACCTGTGGCTCCTCGGCAGGGAGA